TTTATCTATGAAGCCATTGTGTCTGTTAGTTATGCCTGCCAGATGATATTTCATACTATGCTGAAGAAAACAACAATTTCAAATTTCTACATTTTTAGAGACATCATGCTTTCTTTACAATGACCACATGGTGAGGAGTGTTAGGAACAAAATTTTCAAAAACTTGATTCCACTTCCATGAAGTCGTGCAACCAAGTTTTTGGGGCATTGTTTACACCCATTTTCGCAAAAGAAATAGAATGGTGCCACATGTCATCCATGTTGGTAAGAATTTCATTGGTTGAAAGTTGTTGAAGTAAATCTTTATGAATAAGGTTGAGTGGTTATTTTTATAACAGCAGCAAAGCCGTTCGTTTGTTGCGAGCTTTTATGAGGATAATTGACAGCATCAGCAAATTAATCGGGTTGTTTCAGATATCACACTGCCTTTGGTTTCCAAGATTGCTGCCGTAGATCTCTAAGCATGCTGCCAAGGGGTATTTATTGCTATAAGTATGAAGAAAAGAAACGAAGCAAAGGAGACCAGTCTCTCACATAACTAGTTCAGCACTATTTACATTTTAGTTTTACAAGTAATGTCTTAGTTCATATCCAATTTTCTCAAGCAGTTTTTCTAATTTAGTTTTTAGCTCTACGCTGCCATTAAATTTAACTCTGATTTTTGTTATTTCGTTGTGAATATCTCCACTCGATGTATTTAGTTTTTCGCAATTCAATTTACTGCACTTTACCCTAAATTCATCTTTCTAACTTCTTTTAAGTTTTGTTTCACTTCATCTTTTATTTCATTATTTACGCTTTCATGCTTTCACGACAGCATCACACTTCCACTCTACAATTTAGTTTTCTTGTCATGCACTCTCTTTTTTTTCCTTTCCTTTATTTTTCTCTTTTATTTTAATCAACAAACTAACATTTTGACTCTAGTTGTGAAAAGTCTCTAATGTTCTTTCATGACAATTATTTATAAACCTTTTTTATGCAGAATGCACCCTATTTCTGCTACAATCGTCTCATCAGAACGCATTTCATAATTTATTTAACCGATGCTCTTCTAACAACTTACAGTCGAATTCCACGCTTGAAAGTAATAAGGGTCATTGTGAATCCCTCTTTCTCACTTTGAGCAAAATGAACCATACGCTTTCGTAGTCTTATCTGTCACGCGACTAGAAAAAGAGATTTTGAAGACAACACATGTTTTCCAAAGAATGGATTCCCATAAACTTGAATTTCAGGTAAATTTACAACTATTAAAAAAAAATCGTAATATTCAATTAATTCCGATGCCTAAATTTTCAATTTAATTATTGAGAATTTAAATGAATCCCCTGTAAATTCAACTAAAATTTAAAAGCAATAAATTAGAAAATTTTAGTACTAATAATTTTTTTTTTTTAAAAAAAAAAGCTCGTTCAGTTAATAGAAGCAGTAATTGATTAGAAAGCATACTTTTCGTCTTTAACGGCGAGACTGAGGAGCGCGAGGAGAGCAGACTCGTGATGCGACCCGGGCGAGTCAGGTTGGAGCATCGAAACGAGCGGCTTGATGGCGTCGGCCAGCACCACCGACACCTCTGCGAGGTTTTGGTGAGGCGACGGATATCCTT